TTAAAACGGCAACTTAAGAGTTGAGAGTGCTACCAATTGAGCCAGATTGACACCTATATGGAGTCATCCTTTCCTCCATCCTCACCTGGACTCTACAAACATTTGTTTGGTGAGGCTTTTTCAAATAATAATACATTAGCCTAATGTCCACTGCAACATCACTGAGGAGAGGATCCCAATATGTACTAGCTGAATTGCTGTGGAAATGGCACATGTGTGCTTGCATCTATCATTATGCTGGGTTGAGGTACAAAAGTGTGAAGGAATTCATGGTGTACTTATCTAGAGGGACATGCCAGCACTCTGCATGTAAGCTATTTTGCATAATTTTATTCTCTTTCCTTCCTCTCTTGAAGGCATTCCAAGATTCCCAATATTTCCGTGAAATTCCTCAATTTTTCAGCTTTCTCCCCAGTAGACTGGTTCAACAAAATGTCAAGACCAAATGCCAGTTAATCTTTCAAACAAGGAAGATAACTGCCTTGTGCAAGCAAAATTGTTATAATAAAGAAGCTGCACAAATAATCCAATATATAATCAAGTGGCATAACACTTGCACGCATGCAGACACTCACATACACTCCTATTTAACTTTGAAACTGAAGATGCAATGAATGACAGAGAAAAATCTGGTTTCACATAGAAATTGTTACAGGAAATACATCTGCATGAAATAGTCTAAAGATTGATGTGTGAATAATGGGATTTCACATTATCCAGGAATGAAATTTAAAGTTATTGTAAGCTCTATGATACTTTTGCCTGGTTAATAACATCCAAATTTACCTTTCTTAATAATGCAAAGCACAACTCCCACAATATCTGTTAGGAGAGAGAAGATAGAACTGGAAGAATGGGTAGGTTGTGTATGAAAGAACTGGGTGGAGATGAGGGTTCCCAAAGGCCTGATCTCAACAACCAAACCTAACTCTCCAAAAGGTGATTGGATTGGATTATTGATTTTGAGCTAAGAATAGCTAGCTCCTGGGTAAAATTATATTCAGTATTCTGGGGATCAAGCAATAATTAATTAAAAATCAGGACTGAAGGCAAACTTGCTTTCAGCTGTGTTTTTTTGCCATAGTAAACAGTGAAGTCTCAGTATCATCAACCCAACAGCCTCCCCCTTCTCCCTCCCCCTCACGAAAAAATTCAAAAACAGTGCAGAACAAACTAAAGACATAAGAAGATAGCCTAATGGTTAAAGGCCCTGTACAGGGCAGCACTGGACAACACAAATCAGAAGGTTGCAAGGTTGAATGTTCATCTGGTTCAATTAGTCATCAGTTTAAGGAATTAAAAAGTTGCAAATGTGGATGACTTAAAAATTTATCCATCCTGATATTGTTGCACCTGTATCCAGACTATTAAATCCTGCACAGCTCACGGTCAATGGGAGAAGATGTGCCTTTCTGTAACTTAAAGCATTACAGTAGGATCGCTAAATATAAATTTCAACAAGAAACAAGAGATAAAACTGAAATAATAATTGTTACATTCAGTACAGAGCTGTTCATGTCAGGAGGATGTCTCAATGCACTTCTCAAAGGAAATACAGTAAATCCTCACTAATCCAGTCCATGATCAAGGCAAAAGTCCTTCACTTGTCCCAACATTACCCAATGCATCAGCATAAGTGAGAGGGCTCTTTGATGTCATCGGTTGCTCTTCCTGTTCCTTCTCCTGTGAGTCCTGTTCCTCAGTGTCCCTCGCGCCTGGTAGAAACTCCTCCGCAGGAGCTCAAGTTAGGCCACGGATGCCGGGCGAAATCAATTTTCCGCTCGCGTACTTTCCGCGATACCCAACATTCCCCGTGCCGCACATGCACGACCGGAGCCCACTCCGCCCACAATAGCAGCGTCAAGCAAACAGCGCGGGTGGCCTGAGGCCTAGCGCACTGTGTACAGGTTAGTAGCGGAGGCGGCTGTTTGTACCGTGTTTGTACTGGACGAGAGCACTTGTAATGGCTGCAATCAATGACCGTTGTTCTGAATAGTGAGATGCCCAGTTTAACCAAAGCACACAGCCTAGCCTATCTTTTAATATAGACCATGAAAGAGACTGTGAAAATGTGCCCACAATTGTGAGGTGGCTGGATTACTGAGGTGACCCCAAACCGGGTTTCTACTGTACTTGTAAAGTGTATTTTGTGGGAAAGAAATGGCTAAATTTGACAAAAGACTTCAATCACTGAACATTCAGGTGTGTCAGCATAAAAAACGAGCCAATGGAGGATAAAAAGAGACATCGGTAATAAAACAGACTTTCAGCTCAAGTACAGTTAAGTTGCACTTGTCGTTCTGTTGTAAATTAATATATGTTCAAACTCAGCTGGTCACATTGATTGAAAACATAAGCTGCAAACAGTGTGCCTTCATTGATTGACGTGTAGAGGACATTCAAGAAAGATCACAACCGAACCTCAAACATCTGCCATGGCAGACAATCCCATAGTCAATAATTGAAATTGGTGCTAATCAAGGTCCAGATTCAATTGCTGATTTAATAGAAATGTCTCTCGTGCGTTTCCATAGATTATCTTAAATATTTGATTACTACCCTGACCTGTTTATGCCTTACCATATTTCCTGGATATGATCTGGTTTCTGCTGGCACCACAGCACCATATGATCTACTCGCTACTTGATGAATAAAAAGCCATTTAATGAGATACACTGACATGCAACCTGTAAAATAAAATTAGTTAAAGGTCATCATACCACACTCTAAATGTTTCCCAGTGTCTGAACAGATGTTTCAAACCTCATCTCAAATATGAAACAATTGGAATATATTAGACATGACTGAACATGACCTTTTTTTTAATATTGCAAGTAATTGTTACAAATTTAATAGATTTTACCTGCTCTCTCCACAGCTCCCCCACTCCCCAATTGTTTTCTACCCCATTATTTTTCATTGAATTTTCACTGCTGTGTAAGTTCTGGGCAACCAAATGCATGTTGACCCTTTCAATGTCTCCTGTGTATCATGCTTCCTTCCTGTGATCCATTTACTCCCTCCAAAGTATGTTCCGATGTCAGGATTAAAACGCTTGAGCCACAAATATGCCTTTTGCTCACACTCAGGCCTGTGTACAGTTCACTTTGCAGTGAGAAACAGAGAAACAGGAGAAAAGATAAATCAGGACAGTGGATATTAGAGGCATAATGGTTCTGATGATTGTGCTGCTCTGGCCAACTATGACCACAAAAATCACACTACAGTTAACAGCTTTTGAAGTTTTAAGGTTTCAAGACCTACGTAAGAAACAGCTTTCATGTGAACCTCACTTGCAATCTTGTGACGTTTCTACAATCAGAGAATGGGAGAGTAGGAGATTTACAATGGTCATATATGAACTTTGCACAGGTTTTTGGGTCCCAATACAAAAAAATGCAAGAACTGCACTGATTGCCCCAATCAGGTGTCCAGTCAAAAAATCGAAACTTCCCCATGACTTGAAGAGCAAGAAATCCCTTTGTACATGGAGGGGGAAAAAACAATCCTATGAGCAGTTAATGAGTCAATATTTGGATGAAACTGTAATGGCATAAGATAAGCCACTGAGGTCAGCGTGGAGATGAGATGTCATAGAAACTTCAATGAGATAAAGTCTGGATAAATTAAATTCCATCCTCACTCTCTGGCCTTTACTTAAGACCTTTCAATATCCAAACAAAGTTACCACTTTAAAATTTAAAAAAAAGGATAGAACTCTTATTTAAGAGTAGTTATAATGCGTCTAAAATTGCTGATATCTGCTCTCAAAGAAAGGAAGCATCTCAAATACAAAGCAACAATTTTGTTTCCAAAAATATACAGTGTATATTCTTATAATAAACAAATTCCATTTCAAAATATACAGGGTAGAAAATAAGTATACAGTATATATTCCTTACATTACAGAAAGAAAGGCAGCCAAGATACCAGCAATGCAAGAGAGTGAAGACTTAACACTGATTTCTGAAAGCGGGAGCAGGACTTTATTGTACAGTATAGCCATGTACTGGCAATGAGGCTGATTTATAACTTAATAATCGGTAAGTAAATCACATCAGCACAAACGTGTTTGTTGGGTGAGTGGCTGTTTGTTGTTGGCAAACTGTTTCTATCAATATTTTTATTCGCACAAAAAAAACCTTTTGCATGTTGAAGCTGAAATTGTATACTGCTTCAGAACTCTGATTTGCCGCCTGTATTTACAGGATTATGATAACCCAAAAATGCACAATGAGCAAACAAATCATTAATTATTTTAAAGGATGTTTGGCAGCAGTAAGGATCTACCCAGATAGTATTTCAATATCTGGTACAAAACAACAAAAAAGACCTTAAGGGGTTTATAAAGGCACCACTGAGCCACATCACCATGAAATTTCAGAAATATGGAAATCTACTGATCCGTGGAAACCACTGGAAAATGACGCTGATTGTTTACATCTAGAAAATAAAAAACTCATCTAATCCAGATGATCAGAGGCAAATTACCTTATTGTTTCTGTAATGCACAGAGATTTTTTTAAAAAAACACATATCACACCAAAAAACAGAGAAAGAACTGTCTATTACAATCCCTAGCCTTTTCCAAATAATGGGCAAAAACACAGAGGTTTACGAAGATATCTGTATGTAGCTTGAGTCACAAAAGATAGGCAGTTGCTTTATATAATAATAATAATCCTTGCAATTGATATATCATGTCTTCTTATCAGGTCTTCGAGACATTTCAAAGTGCTTCACAGAATATACCGTAAAGTGAATTGACTGTATACCTTATGGGCGAAAACTGACATGCACCTGATGGGTTAAACTGCCCAAATGCCCTATTTTAATTCAAAAGCCACTGCAGTGTGTGAATTGTCTGAGTCAATGAAATAAAACATAGAGTATTAGATATGTCCTTTTCAGGCAAAAATGATTACAAAGTACAAAACAAGTCTACTGTGAAACCCATATATTGAACAGTTCCCCATCAGGCAACGCTTTTAATCAGTTACCTTCTGCTTGTATTGCACAGGAAGTATTGGCGAATACCTTTCAGGCAGAGGAGTATCTTTCTCCACTTAAGCTTTGGAGGGGAAGGGTGAAAGGAGATCAGATGTTCTCTGCAAAATCAAAATATGGTAGCAGTTAGCTGGAAACAAACAGTCCAACCTCATCCCAGGAGATAATCTTTAAAACAATCACTTCTAATCTAATTGCTCTTCCATGGTCAGAAATGGACTTTCCGAACAGTGTTACCAGCTGACATATTGCGCTGCCTAATTCTTATCCTCAAATGGCTGTCTAATGGTTTTTTATCACCGTGATGTGGTCTCTTGCACAGAGGAGAATAAGAATCCAATTGTCTCTACTTGGCCAGAGTTACCACAATTGAACAATCCTGCTGCGGCAGTCTGAATGGCTTAGCAGCCACAGAAATGTCTGAGAGGCCATCAACATGTGTGCGTGAGTTGCTCAGCCATTACTGCTCTGAAGAATGGTGCATTTTCATCGGCCTAACCGGCTTGTCAAGAGTTAGCAGCGATACCTCCACCTCCTCCCGGATGAAGATTTTAATTGTAACCCGTCAAGTGCGTCCCTTGGTCCTAATCCTTTACAGAAACTACACATACAACAAATACCCTACATTTTTTTAATATTATCAAAAAAAAACTCTTGGTTTTGAAAATAATAATATGCTAATATTTACCCAATGTTATGAAACATTTGACATGAATGTTCACAGCTCGTGTTCCCTTATGTCACAATTGGCAATTGGGAAATCACTACACCATTTGCCATAAAGGAATTGTGAACAGCTGAAAAACGCATCTGGCTGCAGGTTTTGCTCATTAACATTACAAAGGTTATTGATGCCACTGTGTGTTTTTGATTAAAGATTAAATATGACACTGAGGGGAGATAGGTGTAACATTTCCACTTTATCCACAGCTCGGAAAATACATAATGATTTTTCAAACTGAAGTAATTTGCTCCTATGGTTTGCACTGGAAACAAAACTTACATTATTTTAAACAAATGTTGCACAGTGAATGTATCTTACTTTTCAGGTATGCGCATATACAAACAATCTGCAAAAAAAGTCTTTATGTCAGGAAACTATCTAAATCCATCATTAATCATACGATTGGAGAACTCCAACTACCCTTGTCCCCATTACACCAATTTAACAGTCACAATCAGGCAAAATAAACACATTTTCTGCCATTGATCACAATTAAGATTAATGGAGATAAAGAGATTAAAATTAAAAATATTACAAATTTGATAATAATCCTTACTTTTGATACAACTTTCAAGGTGGGAGAACATCTCAAATTTCTTCCCTGGATTTACTGTAAAGTGCAAAGATTGTGTATTTTGTAGGCATTTTGAGCCTGCAAGTAGTCATGAAGTGAATGAGGATTGTTGGCCAAGACACAGATAACATCTCCCTTCTCTTTTTTAAATAATCCAATGAGATCTTGAATCCACCTGAAAAGTCAGGCGAGAGATTATCGTCCTTTCCAAAGAATGAAATCTCCAACAATGCAGTCTTTCCGCCCCATCCCACACCCAGCACTGTACTGGAGTTCAAGCTTCACTGAGTTCAGAGTCCCAACATGGAGCTTAGAGGCAACAGTACTAAACCAAATGCAATGACTATTATTATTACGTTCATCCAACGTGAAAGGTACTATATATAGTTTTGTTATCCAGCAACATTTTAAACACATCTGATTATTCCTACAGATCCATCAATCAACACGATTTGCTGTGCTAAGAATTCCTAATCTTCACACATGATATAAGGACTCAACAAGCTCTTCAAGCAGGAGCCTTTAAAGGAGGCACAATGGAAATAAATGCTGCAAGCATCATTCTCATTTTGCAGTTCTACATAGGTCAAGTGGAAACTGAATATACTATACATCCTTTCAAATGCCTTAAGCTCCAGGTCACTGACAGTAAATTATGAAACCCAATTTATCTCGGTAGAAATCTTGGCTATTCATCGCCGAGTTCAATTTAAAATGTTACTTACAGAGAAGTGTGCTAATTCAGTCTGTTTTTCGTTGCACTATTTTTTCTTACTGGAAACCAAGTCTGTTAGGTCTTGTCCTCTATTAACCCAGTGAACTGTTCAGTGATTGGCCCAGCATCATATGCTACAGGCAAGAGGGAATTTGTCAAATGTATTCGCTTGGACACATTCAGTTTTAGCCTCAGAAGAAACGTTTATGGTTTATACTGGGCAAACATTTTTCTTCTATTTTTGTTTATTACATGCATAAACAGTACATTTAAATTTACAGTTTACAGCCAAGTCTATTTAAGTGTTATGCTTGTTCATGGCTATGGTTCTTGGAACGATGAAATCATTGCATCCTGTAATTGTCTTGGGATTCAGTCAGACGACTCCAAAGCTTCATGCAGCCTTTATTCCATCACAGACCCAGTTTCTCTGTTCAGCGTGGATTTGGCTTCTTATGCACCTGCATTTATACAGTATCTTTCATGTAAGGTAACATCTCAAAATGCTTTCAACCTTCAAGCCCTTTGTAAACCCTGCCCGCTGACCTCTGGATGACTTTCATAGGACCCTAAAAACAAGCGACTGCAATTTCTACAGTATGGTGGAAATAAGTAAATGGAAGCAAGGGGAATAATGAATTATTATATGGGAATATTATGTGGGAATACATCGACTTGAGAAAGGAACAAAATTGCACGAAATGGAGATGTGGACACATAAAATAAAATAAATTTATAACAGAAACAGAGCTCTGAACAACAGCTACTATAAGCAACCTTTTCATCATGGTTGCACCTCCTTGAACCACTGTCTTCTTTCAACGGCAGACACAAGTAAAACACTGGTGGTTCTCTCAGTCATAGTCTGTGGAAGAGCAGGAAGCCAAAGGAACAAAGTCTACAGGGATAAGGATTATGCTTGCAACAAAGCTCACCAATCCTCGCCCCCAACTTGTAACAACCATTTCATAAGCAATCATCTTGAAATAATTAATGGGATTAGCATCTAATTTCATCCTCCCCCAGCCCCTTCCAATAGCAGCTCTCTGTTAACCACCTGGTCCCACACATGATGATCATAACAGAGATCTACCGTGTAAGACCTGCACCAGAATTTTCAAAAAGAAAACATTTCAAAAAGCACGTTGACGTCACTTGGTAACAACTGCAAAAATAACCCCCAAAATGTAGTTCAACTTTAGTTTCACAAAAGGGAACACATTTTGAAATCTTAAATATTGCATTAATTACTTTGATTAATCTCATTTATCATAATAATTTTGTTCCTTTCTCAATGACCTTTAATTTATCTGCTTAAAATATTTCATGTCAAGGTGGTCCCCACCAAGCTGAGGAGGGTGTAAAATCATCAGCTCTGAGGATTGCAAAATTCTATGCCTTCATCTCTGCTCTGGCTCAGCAAAGAAATGATTTATTTAAATGAATGAACAGAACATACAAATCTTTGAGGTTTTAGAATTTGTTTACTAAAATGTGAATGACTTGTCTTCTTAAAAAAAAAGAAAAAAAAAATGAACTGGGGATTTGGGTTTCCTTGGTGAGGGGTTTGAGGAGAGCAAACTCAGTGATCTCAGGACCAGGGGACTGTTCTGCCCCCAGCCATCTGGACCCTGGCAAGCACAGACGTAGTCAATCACGTGCGCTGGAAGATTGAATTAACATGATGAATACAGATTTGATACTTCTAACTTATTACACAGGGAAATTGATTCAAGTCGGGCAGAACTGATCTTCAATAAGAGGGAAGTTTTTTAAAAAATAAAATATCAAACATTCAATGTTCAAAACAAGCAAACGTGCATCCCAATTTTCCACAAATAGGAACAAACTCCCATTTCCAGCCAGGTGGCAAACATCTTTCTGTGCTGATCTCAGAACCTGCCTACCTTTAGGAACATGACAGCTGCTGCATAAATTATAACTGATCCATGTTCTTCCTGCTTGCAGTAAAAGTCTTACCCATTCAGACACTGGCTCTAACACAGCCGTTCATGACACCGCATGAGTCAAGGTGAATCACTTACATGGACTATTCTCCATCCTCATTTCACAGAGGGATTCAGGTGATTTCTGGATGAGAGCAACAAAGATGTGAAGGTGTGGCTACATACAGAGATTATTTCCTGCTGTGCTTAAATGATTATGAAAATCCTATGCAATGTGTCTCCTATTTAGAGTGCACTTACTCTATTCAGCTGGAGGGAGGGAATTGTTTTTTTAAAAATTGCATATTAATATTTTTTTAGTACTTTTCATTGTGTTGATTCTTACGTTGAAGAGGATGCCTTGTTGCAAACACGCCGTTAACAGGTTCTGAAAATCACTTCAAGGGTATTTACTGAGAAAAGTGCAACATCTACAATTCACAGCTTTTATCCTTTCCTATTGGTCAGCCACTTAATGTTTCGTTAATCTTCACAGGTGATAGAAAATCGCAGTAAAATACACATAAGTTCATAAAGAAAGAAAAGCTTTAGTGTAGGTCATTGATCACATTCCTTAGAGACAGGCTAGCACCGGAAGGCAGACAAATAATACAGTAGCATTGGTAGTCTGTGCACTGCCTCCCACCTGCCTTCCTGCCTCCCTCTCTCTGTCTTCCCTCCCCTCTTGCATAATTACTGTGGTAGTCATAAAAGCATTGACTTCAATTATTGCCCTATAAACGTGGGGGGGGGATCAATACCAATGTCTAAATGCAACATGAAAAACCATTAGAGAGGGGAAGACTATCTTAAACCATGTTATTGATTGGAACATTAATAACGTAGAATGTGAATGCACCTTTAAAAGAATAATGGGTATTGAATAGAGAAACGTGAAGCTGTCTCATATCCAGGAACTTCCAAACTATTTATCACATAGGATATAATAATAACAATAATAATCCTTGCATTTGATATAGCACCTTATCACGTCGTTGAGACGTCTGAAAGTGCTTTACAAAATATAATGGAAAGTGAATTGACTGCATATTTTGTGGGTGAAACGTGGCAGCCAATTGCACACAGCAGTGTCCCACAAACAGTCGTG